CGTTTGGGAAATATTCTCGATTTAATACTAACTACGTCACCGGATCTTGTCAAGTGTATCCAGTACTGTGACGGGCTCAGTGATCACAGGCTGCTGCATGTTGATTTGTCACTCCCCACTCTCACCAAGCATCCCATTTCCAAAACTATTCACGATTATAACAAAGCTGATTATATCTCGATAAACCGCGAGTTGGCAATCTTCTTTGACAATTACGTCGTTCATTTTCATCTTAGATCTGTAGAAGAAAACTGGACATTATATAAAACTAAAATGAATCATCTAGTAAAAATGTTTGTTCCTACAGTTCGTGTACGCACCGATTTAGGTAATCCATGGTTTACAAAAACCTTGCTTTCTTTGCGAAACAAGAAAAAAAGACTTTTTGCAAAGGCCAAACGGTTAGATACCAGCCAGTCTTGGGATGTCTACAATTCTGCATCAAAAAACTACACCAGGAGCATAAAACAAGCCAAGAATAAATTCTTTTTTAATGACTTACTGTCCATTTTGAGGAGCAACCCGAGAAAGTTTGGGAATCTGGTTTCACCGAAGAACAACTCTGCCATCCAACTACGTACCGACAACGGCGATCCCATTCCAGAGAGATACATTGCTACAGTGTTTAACGAATATTTTTCTTCCATTTTTACTAACGAGTGTTTGAACACTGTTCCCAGCCTCCCCGAGCAACCTTACGAAACCATGCCTCCAATCAGTGTAAGCGCAGCCGGTATTCAAGACCTCATTGCCAAATTAAAACTCTCATCGTCCGCCGGTTCCGACAACATCAATTCCAAAATTCTAAAAAATACTACCAGTATCTCAAGTGAGTTCTTAAAATTAATATTTGACCAGTCACTATCTGAAAGCTCCCTCCCTTCTGACTGGAAGGTTGGCAGGATCGTCCCAGTTTTCAAACTGGGAAGTCGCTGTTTGGTTTCAAACTATCGTCCTATATCTTTAACTTCAATCGCATCTAAACTTCTTGAGCATATACTACATTCGCAAATTATGAGTCACCTAACAACTAATAATTTTTTTTTCAAAAAGCAGCATGGATTTAGAAAGGGATTCTCCTGTGAGACGCAGCTTTGCGACTTCATCCATGACCTACATACTAATCTCGAGTGTCGGGCTCAGACTGACGCCATCTTTCTGGATTTTTCGAAAGCTTTTGATCATGTTCCCCATCAACGACTACTATCCAAACTGGCTTCACTACGTCTTGACCCGCTAATCTTCTCATGGATACGTGACTTTCTTTCTTACCGCGTGCAATACACCGTTACTAATTACCATGAGTCTGCCCTAACAAACGTTTCATCTGGTGTTCCTCAAGGGTCCGTACTGGGTCCCCTACTTTTTTTAATATTCATAAATGACCTTCCGGCCACCATTTTATCTAATATTCGCCTGTTTGCAGATGACTGTGTCGTATATAACAAAGTAACAAGTTTGCATGACAACATTCAACTTCAAGATGATTTAGTAAAAATTAATAAATGGTGCGAACAGTGGCTGATGCCATTAAACAAATCTAAATGTAAACTAATTTGTTTCACTAGAAAAAAAAACTGTTTTGTCCAACCAATATTACTTGGGCTCCGATTTAATTGAGACCGTTCCTTCGTACAAATATCTTGGTGTAAAATTAACATCAGACCTTTCATGGAATAATCACATTGAAGCCATCTCCGCAGACACCTCCAGGACCCTGGGAGTACTCCGACGTAACCTTCGACCTGCTCCACCAACTGTCCGCAAACTCGCCTACGACACACTTATCCGACCTAAATTAGAATATGCTGCCTCCATCTGGAACCCCCATCAAGGCTACCTTATCAATCATCTGGAAGCAATTCAAAACAGGGCCACTCGTTTCATCCTCTCCACGTACGATAACTCCATCAATGTCTCTTCCCTAAAAAGTCAACTCAACCTTTCTTCTTTGCAGCTTCGTAGGAACATCTCTCAGCTCTGCCTCCTTCACAAAATTTATTATGACTGTCTTGAACTTAAAACAGCATTACTATCACCTCCCGATCGAACATCATCTCGCCTCAACAATGACTGTACCATCAAAAGGATCTCTGGCTCAACAGACGCTTTCAACCGATCTTTTCTCCCACAAGCTATCAAAGACTGGAACAGCCTCCCATCCTCCATTGTCACCATCGTAGAACCAAACGCCTTTAAATCAAGTCTTCAATCGCACTTTTTATGTTGTTAAGTGTTTACCAACCTTTTCCTGAATGTATTATTTTTTGTCTGTTTTTCCAATGTATAATATGAATGATCCCCCCCTTATGTAATGCCCTCACGGGCCCTTAAGGTTCAATAAATGAAATGAAATGAAAGATGTGATTATTTTTATTCAAGGTGAGTTTCGAAGAAATGTCCAAACATGTATCTGCATGCAATTATGCCCAAAACTTGGTATTTATTTTCGTCTAAGTTGTTTGAGGTATCGCATTTAAATTAACACCACAGACAGTACATATCATTGCCATCTGCAGAATACAAAATTATGTATTTATTGTTTTTTCACGTTAAGGAATAAATTAACTCATGGGAGGAGATTTCTAATATTGTTCAAGTTCAGCACGTCATTAAAAGAAAACATTTTTTTTTTCGCTTCACGTTCCTGGGATGTGTTTCTTCTAGCCTGTACACATTTTGGTAGGAGGGACTTGTTTAGAAGTTCTCAACCTCTGAATATGCAAGAATTCAACACTTCCGACGAATTCTTGAGAGTATTTTTCTCTAGCTTTTTATCCCCACCTTATTAATATGTTTTTCATTATTATTATTATTATTATTACCATTGGCACAGACATTTAGGTCGAAAAGACATAGCTTTGAACTGCCGAACTACTAAGCATGTGACGAGCAGTGCCTTCTGACAACGAGTTTCTAACAATGACCATCTACGCGATCTTCTATGCAGCGAAGAGCGACAATAGCTATACATCTGCATAAATAATTTCAAATTAAAATAAGCTCGACCACTCCCCCTTTCCCCGTATTGTTTTCTTTAACAGTCCAAAATATCTGGAAGGGGGGAAGGTGGCTGAAGGCCCCCGTCCCCTTTTCCCACTGCAGTGCTTCGGCTGTTTCGGCCGTTCCTTCCCAAAACACGGCAAGGAACCAGGGAAAAAAACAAAAGAAATGGTGCCGTTGAAATCTGCGGCTCGTTAACTATTGTAAAAAAAAAAAAAAAAAAACACACACACACATTTGTTTGCATTAAAAATAAAATAGAGGCGTCGTGGATATGCATACAAACAGGCAAGATGATAAAACTCCGTCACCGGTTCTTGCTTCTTTATTTGCATTATTCATATTAAAACAAATGAGACAACGGCACATAGTTGATTTTTTAATATTTTGATTACGTTATTAAAACGCCATTGAGAGGTGACATGTTTGGTGCCCGGAGGCTGCGAGCCTTTTTACAGCAGAGCTGTTCAGGGCTAGTTTCCCCAGGATCGTGTCCCCCGCAAAGAAATGAGGACACCGAACTCTGGACACCTACCGCCATCGATGAGCGACGTCGCTTATAGATGGCGGCAGCCTTTCCACTCTGACTTGCCGACTTGCGGCCGGCCATTACTTTCCATTGTACAGCTCCGCTGGCCTTCCTTCTTTACCAAACTAAAAAGGTTGAAAGTTTTTTTTTTTTTTTCTTGAAATATTATACTTCCCTTTCACGGTTTTCGGGGACTCGAGGAGCTAATTGCAAGCAGAATAGGGTGTTTTCACTGACGCAAATTTGTCCACCATTTTGTTGTTGCGAGCTGCCTGGCGTGTGTCGAAGGCGAGAATTTCAAGGATTTACATGACCCCTCAAATGCATGCAGCACAGAAGCTTGTAAGTGTTACCACGCTGACATCTCCTCAACAGATTGCGATGTAATTCTAGAAATCAGTAAATCTGTCGTGAAAAAAGAAAACAAACAACACCAAACAAACGGACTGACGTCATGTGAGAACACCCTATATAGACCAAGTCAGAATGATTAGTCCACCACGTCCTCCCTCAGCAAATGTGGGCATCACTATGTTAACACCGCGCGACACTTCTAATGCGAACGCGGCTTGCGTGCTCGATCGACTGCTCCAAATGTGCACCCTAACTTTTGCACACGGCGATAGGCTGCGCTGTCCCTATGAGCCAATCAACGCGTCGGAGGGAAAAACGTGACTGTTCTTTATCTCACCACTTGCAAGCAGTGCTGCCAAAGCCACGGGCGGAAGAGAGAGGAAAGCCGCTTTTGTGGGAATTTTTAGTAACATACTAATCTCCGAGGGGGAGCAAAGCGACGTTTGGACCACATGAAATAGGGTCCGAGTAAGAGGGGAGTTTCTCCTTCCCCTCTTCTCCGACTGCTTCGGTTGCGCTCTGGCACCTGAACCTCTGGTGAGGGCTCTCACGTGCTTTGCCTCCGTCCATACAGTTACTATAACATTCCGGAGGAGTAGGTCTTATACAGACGCGGACAGCGGTCGGTGGTCCGATTCGGTGGTGCCGATGGGTTCAAATTGCTGGCGACGCCTGGATGTACACAAAGAAGCAGAAAAACTTTGTCTGTAAGGACTGTGCCTGGTTTGTTTCTGGCTTACTTTCAAAAAAAAAAAAATCAAACTTTGGCAATGCGCAATGCAAAAAAATAAAAAAATAAAAAGTTTGAGGAGCACTCGTACAACCCCAACGCATCGCGGCAAAACGAGCACGTCCGCTTTCTCCCTCTACTTTATTGTCGCTCACTTTTTCATTCTTTCTCTCGTGATCACCGATGTCAGCACTCAGGATTTGCCGCATTCTGCTCCCGCCTTTAGCCCCCCCCTCCTTCCGTATCCCTTCGTTGTGATTGGCTCGGGGAAGGGGGGCTTTAGATTTTGTTTTTTGCCAGGTTGCGGTGGAACGAAGTACAGTAGATTTTATGACAACCAACCAGTAAGAAAAACGAAAACACAACACTCATGGCTTGTACGTGCTAACTGTGTCGCCCTCTGTACACCGACCATCTCTTTTCCACGGTCAAAGCTGGACTCGCCTTATCGGCGAGGGTGGTCTCGTTGTCGAAGGCGTCCATGATCTCGGCGACGGCCATGGCCCTCTTGTGAACCAGCGCGGTGTTGGCCACGGCGTCCTTCTCGTAGCGAACTTCCGTCCACTCCCGGCAGTGCTGCGCGCGATCGGGGAAAATATTGCACAAAATACGGGCTAGGTGGCGCAAGTTACCGCTCGATACGAAGGGTAGATAGAAAATGATCATCCAACCATCCATTCATCCATCCGGGCTTGTCTCTACGCCAAGGAGGATAGAAGGGTAGGAGAGGGCATGACGTCAGCCGCGTAGCCTCCACAAGCCATGCTCCCTTGACGCCTCGCCTATTTCTCATTTTTTCCTTACCCTCCTCACTTATCAGGCCAACGTGACAAATCACGTGACCGTAGCTTGCCTTCGTCTAGCCTTTGATCTGACAAGACCTACCGGACGGAGCGCGCGCATGCCTGCAAGGAATCCTTCTACAATCAACCATCTATCTCGCACGTGAAATGTCACGCGCCCCAAATGCCAGAGAGATTTATGGTCACGTTGGCCACAACATCGTTTAAACTTTTAATGACTATAGCTTCACCAATATTGCAACGTGCCACCTCCTAGTACTTGTAACCTCCTTGATGTACGCGGTTTCATCGTTTCGCGCGCAGCCATATTTGTCCATTGCAGCTGTGGAACGTTTTCTGAGCATGCGCATGCAGTAGCTCTCTTCCGCAGAATATCAGATTAAGCACATGCCTTTTTTTTTATGACACGTCCATTTCTTGCCTGGGTGATAAGCGCTGGAAATATGTATATGGCGCGTGTTTATATGCTGTTTCTCCAGGTTTTCGCGTATACGGCCAGCAAGGGCCCTAAAATCCGTCTTTAACGCATCATATAAAAAAATAAAATAAAAAAAGGGGCACGGCAATAAAGGGTAATTTAGAAAACGTGTGATGACAAGGCTCCATCAGACGTCATCACTAGTGGATTCCCGCAGGGTTACCTTTTCTAGCGCCAGCACCGCCGCCAGCGGGTCTTGCAACGTCTCACAACGAACGCGACGCTATACGGGGCGCAAGTTCGTCTGCTTTTTTCGCAGGGGTTGTGGTCGCTATAATTCAAGGATAGTGGGTATACTTCGAGGCAGCTCGCTTTGAGGTCTACCCACTATCCTTCAGTCAGAGCCGATCTAAGCTCGGCTTCTTTCTGACGTCGCCACAACGCCTGCAAAAGAAGCAGATGAACTTGCGCTCTTCATAGCACGCGGCTTCGCCAAGCGTCTGCCGCTTTACGGCGACCCTCGTCGGGCGATCGGCGCGTATGTTTGCCGCTTGGGGCGGGTTGGAGATCCACAGGCGATGACGTCATGAAAGGGCTACTGAAACGGTCCGAGCACAGCGTGGACGCTGATGCGCACCGTTGCGAAGGGTTCCGGGAAGTAGTTGTGGCAGACCTGTCCCAGCCTCCTGGGATGGTCGTAGAGCAGGAACCGCGTCACGGAGAGCGTCAGGGACACGCAGCCGGAGCCCCGGCCGCCGCCCAGGCGCTTCAGCTTGGCCAGGGAAGAGGTCTGCAGGAGGCCGGCAAGTTGAGAGTCGGAACATACACGGTGTGTTTCGCGTACCCTATTCTGCCCGTGCATCGAAAGTTTACCCGAACTGGCACCAAATGACGTCGCAAAGGCGGGAGCGCCACGCTGTCGAATTGTGCGACCCTGGTGGTTGGTCGTAGAAGTTTCGGCAAAAAGCTATTGCCGCACCCTTCGAAACCCCTGGCTTCCGAAGCCTCCGTGGAATGTCAAGCTAGAATTCCTCGATATGTTCCCCCGAAGGGGCAGCATATCGAGGAACGTAGGTAGCTATATACAGGAACTATATGTCAAGCTGAAGAGCAGCGACCTCTAGCGGAGCGGGCGCCTACCACATCCACCACCGTTGCTGACACCGCCAGGATCGCGGCCGGCGAGAGCGTGGCACTTCTATGACGTCATCAGGTGGAGTTCGAGGGACCGCTTTTTTGTACGTGGCGAAAACACCGGTCGGGTATCGGGTTCCAGGCACCATAGTTGGAACGTGACAGGAAGTCTTAGCCAAGGAGTTTAGAATTTGATAATAAAGCTGTCGCAAAACGTGCGGCACAGCCCGCGGCGCCGAAAGGTATGCTGGTATGCTGGGAAGTCTAGGTACAAATCCGGTGCTGGCAGACGATGGAGACGACGGAGAGAGCGTGGGTGAGGACAAACGAGCAAACGCGTTGCCCTTTCGCCTTCCTCGATCGTGCCACCACTTTCGCTCACGGGGTTGTGAATCACGATCATTCGAAATATCTATACACTAACACCCTGTTTACCAACAGGACAGCGTTAGCTCAACCCAGGTGTGCGCGTGTGCAAACCAGATTCGCGTTACGATCTGCACTTGTTTCGATTGCCTGCGTGACTTCTGATTGGCTACGCTTCTGTTGTGTCGACGTTTAGGGGATCGGTGGCCGAGTGGTCTAGCGCACACCAGCTCGGAGCACGTGGAGCGAAAGCTCGCGCTGCAGAACCAAGAGATCCTGGGTTTAATCCCCACCCCTGCCCGTTTCGATCTGGAGGAGCATCTCACCGGCGAGCGGTCGTGTATATCACTACTGCGTGGTGCACGTTAAAGACCCCAGGCAAGCGGTTGTACCACACTGGTTAAATTGATCATCTACGGCTGAGACACCTTACGCCCACCGAGGCAGACTAACTTCCGGCTGTATAAACATACACACAACAATTTGTTGCTTGACATTTGTTTCGTTCGGTTCCCTGTGCAGTTTTTAGTAGAATAACTTTAAATAATGTTTAAGAGGTAACTCCGGCACATTGTCGCGATTTTAAGATTGCGACTGTTGTTCCTAAATTGTGAGGTGTCAAGTTTTTTCCGATGCCTTGTGTAGATTTGGAGGTACCTTATATGAATGTTTTGTTTCGGAACTCCACGGCGAAACCGAAACTACCGGCTTGAGCGTGATAGGGCAACGCAAAGTTCGTACCGCAGTCCCGCAAAACGTATGACTGGCCTAGCCTTAAGAGCAGTTCCGATCAGTTAGGTAAAATGCTACGGCTGTTTTACTGCCTTGGTTCGTAGGCCTTAAACATCAATATGAAGTAATAATACATATTCATAAAGTAGCTGGCCAAAAAGCGAGTTCGCCACGATGAACGCAGGCGCAGCGCAGGCTCAGAACGAGACCTCAATTACCTTTTAAGAATAACTGTAATCTTGGTGGTGTGTAATCTTGGTGGAAGCTGATCATTAGCTCGCGCTCAGCAGGAACTGGCTTAACTATGGCCGCCAGCGAATTCCATCTGCGGCACTGCGACGGGCTTCGAGCACATAGTGAACAATGTTCATGCGCTTACAAACGACGGCCGATAAAACATAACATAACAGCAAAAAAGCAAAAAAAAAAAAAAAAAACGCAGAAAGAAAAACAAAACAAAAACAAACAACAAAACAGCGAAAGAAGTGTCAGTACGAGCAAATAACATGCTTGAGTACGAAAATGACATGGTGGCTCAAGGGTGTTCGGCAAACAGCCAACCCGCTGAATGCCCGCTGAGAAGCAGGTGCCAGAATGTTTTAAATAGGCTTTGGAGTGGAATTCAGTTTGGTTGGACTTTTGACCTGAGTTACCCTTTCAATTATTATCTCGTTCACTTAATTCTGTGACTAACAAATACATATGTTTCATATCCTACTTGTTTTATTTCATTAAAATAAAATATTCCGTTGCATCAAAATAATTGTGATACATTCGATGTATGCTTTCATTTCACAAGATTCGGTACATAGACGTTGTCACGTCTAAAACTTGCGTCCGTATCGCATACACCGCCTACCCGTTCCCTTTTTTACCTTCTCCTGCGCACCCATTTTAGCACTGAACGTGCAGAGAACAAATCAATCAAACTGCTACAAAAAATTTCTAAATGACAAGAAGAAAAAAAAAAACTGAGTTCCTGTAATGAACTGCGGCCAGAGCCGAGACGCTGCGCACTTGGTTACATCTTTGCAGCACACAAATTACTCTAAATCCTATGTGCTGCATTCATACATTTTCCATCGCCGTTCAAATATAGCGTATTAAACCCATACTATTGGCTTAGGAGTATTGAAGTTATCACCAAGTCAAGACAATCGGCAATGTTGAGATATCTGGAAACCACCAAGTCCAGCACAGTGCAATCAATTCTTTGTAGTAATCTTCGTGTCATCGCTATTCATGTATAGTAAAGATGAAAGTATTTTCTCTCTTCGTTAAACGCGAGGATTAATAATAACTTCGGATTATTCATGATATTCATTTCTGCATAGAAAAAGTAGGCAAGTGTGGCAGACATATTTCTATACGTTGGCATCATCCCAGCAGCTAAAATAGAAGTATAAATTTAAGAAAAAAAAATGGATAGATGTGACTTTACTTGAGTAAATCAGAGCATCACGGGCGTCACCCGATTCCAAGTGTCCCTCCATTTTGCGCAAACGGCGAGGACAAACTAAAATAATGTAATTCGCGGAAAAAAAAAAGTTGTTTTGGATGATAAGTAACGGAGCTCTGGCCCTTTTAAAGAAAGCGAACGAAGCAAGCGAGCGTTCCGAACAGAAACTACGATATGATACAAATAGAATCCACATTTCAAAATTATTGTCGTAGCAGAGTGGCGCAGTGGAAGCGTGCTGGGCCCATAACCCAGAGGTCCGTGGATCGAAACCACGCTCTGCTAATTGTTTTTTGGTAAAGAGTGATGAACGTATTAAGAAGGTAATTTACCTTCTTTCCCGTATTATTTACTTTTGCAATGCTATTGTTTGGTTGCTATAATAGCTGACACCGTTCCATTCCCCGTTACACAATGGACGCAGGTATGAGGCGGCGGCTTGCGCCCCCTAGCCACTTTTAGAGTTCAGCTCTTAGGCACCCGTCTCCGGCTTGAGCGGCGCGTCGCCGTCTCATAGGTCTCATAATGCATTATGGAAAAGGTCTCATAATGCAACGCGCGGAATACATGTCACGAGGGTCCCGCGCGGTGCATTATGGGACATTACCCATAATGCACCGCGGGGGGAGGAGGACAAGGGGGAGGGGAGGTTGGGAAGGAAAGGGGAGGAGGAGGGGGAAGAGAGAAGGGAAGAGTGGAGGATGAGGAGGAGGAGAGGAGGGAGGAGGAGCGGGAGGAAGGAGGAGGAGAGAAGGGGAGCAGTTTGAAGGACGAGGGGGAGTAGGTGAAGGACGAGGGGGAGGAAGAGGAGGGAAGAGGAGTAGCAGGGAGGATGAAGAGGAGGGAGGAGGGGTATATCCTCCCCTCAGTACTTTCTCCTCCTCCTCCTCAAGGATTCGGCGTTGCAGGGTGTGGTAAAAGTCTTTCAATTTTAGAGCGCAGCTCTTAGGCGCCCATTTCCGGCTTGAGCGGCGTCGGCGTCGCCATCGGCGTAACCATAAGGTCACGTGGACCCCAGGTCACGTGACCTGGGGGGCTCACGGAGGGAGGAGGGGTATACCCTCCCCTCAGTAGCCTTCCCTCCTCGTCCTCAAGAGCTGCGCTCCAATTCGGCGTTAGAGGGAGAGTAAACAGCTTTGATTTTGTTTCCTGACATTTATATGACAGTAACGAGCGTCGTCTGGAGAGCTGTCTTTCAAATGAAAATGAAGGGCGGCCCACCATGCCTCAGCCCGTCAGAATACATTGGTATCGTGCCGTTGTATCGGTCTTCATTGTTTTTTATGTTCCATACAACAATACGCAAAAAAATTTTACAAAAAAGAAAGAAAGACGAAATGCGTGCAAAGATAGGTGCCGAATATGGTGGTCGTGCCCTCGGAAAATGGCGACAGCGGGAAACAAGAAAGGAGAGGAGTGTACGCATGCGCAAAGGCTTATTGTGAAAAAGGTCTATTGTTGAGTATGTTGAAATCGCACCTGTTTAAACGTTTCAAACAATGAATGACTGTTACGCCCGATCTTTCAATGGTGTTTTTGTCTAAACGTGGGCACGGTTTGATGATCAAATGCTTATAGAGAGAGAGAGAGAAAAAAGAAATACCTTTAGAGGTATTCCTGAAATGAAAGAAGGTGCAACCCGAAAACTTCGCGGAATGTTTATTAAAAATGTTGACCGTTGTGGCGAAAACGGACGTTTTTCTCGCCTACCGGACCTGAAATGGTTGACTGCTTGCCATTTTGCTGCTTCTTAAACTACTACACTCATAATGATCTATTTTTGTTGAGTAAATTCAATTAAAGTATTACACTGTACAATATACCTGAAAAAAAACGCGCCCAACTGAAAGTTTTTTTTGTTGTTGTTGACAGAGTTGCACAAGGTTTTCAGTGTGACCAATTCAATTTTGCTTTTAAAAATCTCGATACCTCTGTAAATATCAAAATTAGCTGTTTTTGTTTGTCATCCAGATTTAATATTATATGTAAAGCAGATATCATCACAAGCATTTGATGAAACCACTGTTTCAAATATCTCGCAAATTCACGATAAATTGTTTTTTTCTTTTTACTTTCTTGCAAGATACTGACGTTATTCA